AAAAAAAAAAAAAAAAAAAAAAAAAAAAAAAAAAAAAAAAAATTAAGTATGTCCTGGAGTAGGGAAGCGAAATTATGGCTGCTGACTATTTGACATCCAACTCTAAAAGATTGAGCTTGAACTTGATATTTCAGTTCATTACACACCGACAAAGCCACATGCATACGTTGGGCTTGGAATTGTTCAACAGACCACATTAAACAGAGAGGAACTAAGCCACATCAGCTATTGCCAAATTTTACGCGGCAATTTAATGTTTTACAGGAGAACGTTTGTGTGAATTCCTTTAAAAATTGTAAGGAATTTTCTGCACAGCATGAAGCAAATTCCTTAAAATTTTCAAGGGAATTCGCACAAATGTTCTCTTGTAAAATATTAAATTGCCTTGTTAAATTTTCCAAAAGCTCATGTTGCTTGGTTTCTTTCTACTAACCCCGGTCCAAACAGTACACCAGAAATACAATCTTGACTGAAAGCAAGACTTGCCTAATGAATCAAAGGATGGACAGGCAGGATTGAATACAATGCAGGAAATTTGAAGAAATCAGTAGCACTACCTGGCTGATCAGTTGAGAGGTGCACTCAGAACCTCACTTAGAGGTGTCATCGGCTACAGCAGACACATCACAAATATCAATCTCTAATTACCTCCGAATCAGCACCACTCAATAGGTTAATACATGCAGTCAAGCCCTGGATAGACCACCAAATTCCCGAACCAATTCCGATCAAAGTAGCGTGAAAGTGTCGGGAGTCATCAGTCTTAAGCTCATTAATTTGCTTCATTTGAAAATGAAAACTTAGCAGAAATGTTTCCTGTGGCAGGAAATGATGAATGGTGGCACTCCATTCTGATCAGACTTTGAACAAATAAGTGCGGCCCGTCAAAATTTGACGGTAGATAGTGACCATCAGTCATCAGCATGTCTACTTTGATCGGAATTGGTTTGGAATTTGACCGTCTATCCAGGGCTTAATCGTCTATCCCGGGCTTCAGATGGCGTCACTGATGAGTGGTGACCTAAACAATACTTGACTTTTGTCTCAACATACAATGCGTCTGCTCTAAGTCGGTACTTGTTTACTAACATTCAGTTTGTGAGAGATGCAATGGTCCAATGGGGAACAGGGATTGGCTATACTCATAAGCGGAATAAGAATGAGTGTCAATCTAACTGACAACACCTCTTCAGCGGCAATTCATGTAAGCCGCAATAATAACAGCCAAACTCCAGAATCTGAATCGTGGTAGAGAAGACTGTAACACCAACCATGATACGAGAAAATTACACAACGTTTACTAGAAAAGCAGGACTAGGGAGACAACTAATCATGAACTAACCTTCAACTGGTAAGTGACTGTTGAGGTTGGCTTGTCCTCAGTTCGTTTAATTTCATACTTGCGCCCCAACTCCGGCACCATCAGGTGACCACCATTTGTAACTGGAGTTGATGAACTTGGTTTCAGCGGGTTAGACTTCTGCCAGATAACAGAGCGTCCCCCTTCGTTCATGACAGAGCAATCAAAGCTGGCCGAGCTTCCGACATCTTTCTCTTGCTCTGGCGAAATGTAAGATATGGATGGTTCTCGTTGTTGGCAGTTGACTGCAACACAAAAGCACCACTCAGAAACATTGAGGAAACAAGATACAAGAGAACATCAACAAACTTGGGCTGCCGGTGGATTGAAACTGAGTGGCAGGAGGGAAGATGGATGAAGGGATGATGACATTCAGAAAATGGAGAATGAATGTGAAATAATGAAAATTGCTCCATACCTAGATAAACGAAACGAATGGGGTACATGTCCATGAGAAAATTAAAGGGTGAACAATAGGGCTTCAAAATAGAAGCTACAGAAGCTACGTACTGAGAGCTAGGATTATGGGATTTGCATGTCCTCTCTATCTGAGCACAGGAAAAATCGGTAGAATATTCTTACCTGAGCTAAGTATAAATAGAAGACATATCACAGGAATGATGGTCATGATTGCAAACGGCATTTCTTCCTTCCGATATGTACAGAAAACGTGCTCACAGGTTCACGACGCCATAGCTTCTTCTACAGAGTTATCGTGCCGACTCACACTTGATTTCGCAGACTAGATTACGGAAACAGAATAGGAAAGAGAGAACGGGATAATTCGCAATTAGCTATAAAAGTAATAAATAGGGAGACAAACTTAAAGAAATTCTAAATAATTGCCTTAGCTGCGTTGGTTCAGTTACTTCAGTTATCAGATTGCAAAATTTTGACATGCCGATGCATCGATGCTGAAAGCCGGGACGCCGCCATTTTAGGCCAACGCCGTTTCCGGTTTCCGGCAACACTTTGTTTCCGGTCACCGGAAACAAAGGATGATGGAGTGGGAAGTGGGGGTGAAGTGGTTTCGGAGTGGGAGGGAGATTTGAATTTGCGGACGAACAAACGTTCCCACGACTTGGCTCAACGAAGTTATTTCGATCAACTATAATCTCATGCTAGGCCGGTGTTTTTATGGTTGGACCGTCCTAAAACAACAATTTCGCTAAATGAAACTTAATTTGAGCAATTTAAAATTCAAAGCTTTGCAAATAACTTAGAACTTGTTCCAACTGCAGTCCTAGCACAGCGGCCACTGTTGAAGAACACTTGAAAAGACGGTAAAATTAAAATGAAAAGAGATTTTTTTATGGTATTTCTTCCAGTAACATTTTCAACAGGTAAAATTTACATACAAGGTCTTCAGAGAACTACCATGGATTTTTTAAGGTTTTTCATCACTTTAGTACAAAATTTTCATGGACATAATTAATAGGTATAAAGAGTACTTAACTCGAGGAGTTGCCAGATTGCGCGATAAATATGAATATTTTACTTGGGTTTGAAATGGGAAAAGTGCTAAAAAGCAACTTATCTGGCAACAGTAGAGTCTCGGAGGGACGAGAGGCTGCCTTCCTGGGAAAACCCATGATTTAGCCGGAAATGTCATTAAAACATAAAATTTGTTTCTGTTTGAAGCATCAAATGTATACTAGGGAAAGCTATTTTAAAATAATAATTGAAAATTGACATAGATGCTACAAAAAAGGAAAAAATGAAATGAGGATATAATTACTTGTGCAATCAGAGAGAATAAAACAAAAACATCAGAGAAAATATGCAATGAAAGGATAGTAAGAAAAAAACACAAGTGGGCTCATACCGATTCGCAACTCGACCTACCCTATCTTTGAGCAGTTTTTAGACCCTTACGCCACCGATAATCTCCGTCGAAAGTAAAGATGAACTTTTGCTACTTCAGCAAGTCAAACCCCAGGAGGGAGATCCACGGTTGTCACTTTCCTCCACCCGATGGGACTGTCGTCCCAGTCAAATGCGTTTTTGAAGAAATAATCGATCCCCATCATTGCTTAATCTCCACAAATTTATTAATGTGCAAATGGTGGCACGCTCCAGTAACAAGTTTCTGTGACAAAATAATTTTTGTCTTAAGAGTCTCCAAAATGTATACATCATAGTGATCAAATGTCCAAACTACTCCAACTACTCAGAAAAATGGCTCGTGGAGCGAGTCGAGTGTCATGCATGTAGTGAGTCGTCCTTTGTCTACCTTGGCAAGTGTCTATCTGTCTATCTATCTGTTAATGATACAAGACATGGACTTTAAAAATGTGTGAACTTATCACGGTATAATAGAAAAACAATGATATGAAACTAGGACAAAGAGATTGTAAAACAAAAGACATCAGTAACAGTAAACAATTTATTAAAAAATATGCAATTCAAATTGATAACATTGAATCAAACCGTGAAAGTTTGAACTACTTCAATGGATATAGTTTTTCTGAGAACATGAGATATTCCTGCAATGAGAGTTTCAATGTAGAGTGACAACTCCTGCATAATCAACACAGCTGAAGAAAATTAAACCAAAAGTTCTTTTTCCACCTGGCAGTGACAAGACAGTTAAAGGGAGCTTTTTTTTCTGTAGACTTTTGAAGTAACAGTCACTTAAAAGAGAGAGAATATGATCAACCGATTTTTTCAGTAATTTACATGCAGATACAAGGAGAGAAACAAAAGAGGATGATTCCACAAAAATATTGAGTTAAGACTAGCAGAAATACTTCACTTAAGAGTGAAAACTGAAGGCTCTTGGGCAACGATGATTGCATCATCGAATATGGAAACATGCCATGTCCAATTTTGGTTTTGAACGATTGGCCAGTTTAGTTTTAATGAAAAATTTGGGCAAAAAGCAAACATGAGAGTTGAGGACCAAACACTGACAGATACTGATAAGCATTTTGGAGTTTAAGAAAGCTTCGTCAAAATTAAAAATGCTAGACAAAAGAAAACACAGTATGTTTTCAATTTAGATTATATGTATTTAGATAAAGGACTTGATATTGGCTGAATAAGAAAGAAAGAGAACATATTCGTTCGGTTACTTAGTAGATATATAAGACTGAATCATCAAAGAGCATGTCAATGGTATGACTAGAAAAGCATGTTTATTATTCAGATTGTTTCAAAATTTCTTCATTTTATTTTCTTTAAGGAAAAGGAACTGACCTCATTTCTCAAAATTCATACCATGTATTCTATGCACAGAGAGAAATCAGTGAGGTTTTTAAAAAGATGACACTGAATTATCCTTTCAGAAAATAAGGTATGAAAGAAATGCATTTCAAACACGTTTTCCAAAAACTCGTAACAGGAAAAAATTGGGTGACTGATCATGTCCAAACTTTCTTGAAGACTCATCCCAACAAGGAAATTTGCAACACTGTAAACCATCAATGAGCTGAAATGGAGGCGCCAGGTGGATGAGAGGCACCCCTTAATTGCTGTTTCTCAGAATCTCCTCTAACATTTTGTCAATCAGAAAGGGAGCAAATGATTAAATCTCATTGAAATTTTTACTGAGTATTTTCTATGGTTTTAGATATTTCAGGCAATAAATTTTGGAAAAATTACTCATTAGTTTCCTAAGAAGGGTGTAAAGTAGCAAAAGAGATTCTGAATCACCGCAACTGAGAAGTGTCTCTCCTGTACTTAGCGATTCAATTCACTGCTTGACAAAGCACATTCTCAAAAACCCAGAGAGCATGGACTTTCAGTTTGCTGCTGGACGCATTAATTTCATGATTCAATCAAACCCCGAAAATGACTTCGATCTCATTAAACAAAATCCCCACTTCCACTTGATGAAGAAAAATCAAACTTGTAAGTCCTTTTTGTTTACTACGTCCCAATAAAAAGGCAACTTACTCAAAGAAATAAATCATCAATTATCACTTCAAGCAACTCAACAAGTAATTAAGTTTAATATTCAATGAACCTATGTGCAGATCAAAAATTAAAGCACCACAAGACGTCAATGATGAAACTGCAGAAATGCGTAAATCGATTTGCTGCTTCATCGACTGACTTCCTGTCATGTTTTATTTTCTACATGGAAATCTACTGAACATCATCTTTTTGTTGAACACGGGTTTTTCCTTCTCTACGTAGAGATCTGTAAGATATCAAGCCATTATGTTGGTTTGGTCTTCTTTAAATAATAAAGAAAGAACTGAGATTTTGGAATACTGCAACCGAAATAAGCATTTTTGGAGTTTCACTATTGATAAGTTACCATCACAATGGACCAGTAGCCAAGGCATGAATTTCAGCATTCTGATACACGTTTCATAACCAAAATTTTACGTAGAACACGACGCGCACAACAAAAATTACCAAAATCAACTCGTTATGAAGATATTTAATGATTCTTGATGCGTGAATTCAAACCACCCGCTCATGAAAACTCAATGCTCTACGTAACTCACATCGCGCGCTAAACGTTATCATGACAGTCTCTGCGATATAAAAATCTGGCAACCTTGATCTTGACGCTTTAGCTCAGCTATTGCAAGTTGTTTATAGTGTGAACAGCACATGGTGGGAAACGAACATAGCTTGATTGAGAAGTTTGCTGAAACCGTTGTAGTGCAGGTTTTGACTCACGTAGAGCTTTGAGTTTCTTGTGAGCGGGCAGTTCAAATTCCTCGTCACCAATGTGAAATATAAACGTTAATATCTTTGTTAGGAGTTGATTTCGGTAATTTTCGTTGCGCGAATCGTGTTCTACGTGAAATTTTGGTCAAGAAATATGTTTCAGAATGCTTAACTTCGTACCTTGTCTAGTGGTCCATTACATGCAGGACAGTTTAAATATCCTTAAAACTCCAAAATCAGCTCTGACAACACAAAGGAGGATTTTTTATTCCTCTTCTTCTTCCAGCTTTTGACCAAGGACAAAGTTCCATTTTGTCTAGCTTCTATTCGAAGGAAGATAGCGATATTCTGGTGACAAAAAGCAACTCAATGTCCATCTCTGTTCCTCTAGGAGATTTCATGAAAGCTAACTATCTTTGCCGTATGAAGTATTTACAAATCGATGGCCAAAGTGTGAAACGTCGTATCTCCGTTTGCGATGTTCCAGACTTCCTTCATACTTAATTTTTTCTTCAGAACACTAATTGACATAATTCCTTGAAAACTGCCTGATTTGTCTTCTCTCTCAGCAGAATATTCTGTACACATTTCAAGCTATAAAGTAAAGTTCTTTCTCATTGAAAAAATGAGATAGGTACAAAAATTTTGGAACATTGTAATGGAGACACGTCGTTTTGTACTTTGGTCATCGAAATGTTTCTTCTTCTCATCTTCACCTAGGAGACCTTGATACGCTTCAGTTCTATGCAAACATCAGATACACAAGAATTTTTACTGCATGAGAGACATGTAAAAAGGAAATTTTCCTCCGAACGGTGGAACAAGAGAAAAACAGTTCAGCAAAATACTATTCTCTTGTACATTCGGTACCATTCCACTGCTTTTCAAAAACTTCATCACATGGAATTTTTAGCTTGTTCCCTAAAAATAACACAGTACATGGAATTCTATCCAGCAGTCATAGAATTGAATACTGCCTCTAACTGTTCAAGTTTGTATTTGTTGTAAACTAAGTGAATCATTTCATCTAGAAGATCACCTCCTTCGAGAAATGAACTTAAATTATGGATATTTTTCCCGATGCGATGATCTGTGACTCGATCTTGATTGAAATTGTACGTCCTAATTTTTTCAGAGCGCCCTCTGGAGCCCACCTGGAAAAGGAAAAACAACGTATCACTGAATTGAAGTGTTGTCTGGATTAGAGCAGCAGATATTTCTTACTTTAATAACTTTAAAGATTAACTGTCTTTCAATGACTACTTCAACTCCTCTTGGAGAGCTAAGAATTATTTTATTTTATTTTTTTTCACCCTTTGCAAACCAAGGGGGTAAGAGATTGTTGAGCATCTATCATCTGATGGGTGCTGTGAGAACTTACAAGCCCTACTTACCTTTACCAAGAGAATATTAACTGTTTGACATTACTGCATAAATTACTAGGGAAAACTTTCGACCGGGTGAAGAAAAATCCAGTGAAATCTCAAGAATAAAAGAATGTTCAGTTATCCAACATTGAAATAAAAAGTGAAAGAGATTTACGCAACTGCTGAGATTGACAGTTGAGCTACGATGCAAACTAAGTGATAACTGGATAAAGATGTTACAGCCGAGAAAAGGAGTTTTGAAAAAAGAGCATTTTAAGTATTGATTTTGATATACCAAATAGAAGAAAGCAATCTGTTTGGTGTTTTTGAGTAGCTTGATTCATTACCTTGAAAGCTGTCTGGACGATTTTGCAATAATTTCCGTTTTTCACCACAATACTTAAAAATTTAAAAAATCGCACTGAAGATCTTTCTTCAAAAAAACACAGTGATCCCAAAATTGAGAAAAAATTACTCAAATTACACACCATACATTCAAAACTTATAAAAATTTGCAGAAACCAATTAAAAAGACTTGATGGGGGACTAGAACCTTTGTCTCACTCCCTCTCTCTTGCCAACCTGGCTTGCAACAAATTTCCATCATTATCATAATTACTGATTTTTACGACCACAACATGCTTAGCTTATTGGCTTGTCACCTCCGATTATGGCAACAAGCGATTTCTATTGGCGATGCCCTTGAACACAGAACGAAGCATTGATGCTATTGTGGCGATAGATGAAAAAACAACTTACACGCATAAATGCTTCTTTTCCACACATTGATTTAAAAGTCAAATACTTGGTATGCAGACAGAATGTCTACAGAAAAAAGGGCTACAAAAAAAAGGGCTTCCTTTTTTAGTCTACTGTCAAAATGTCTACATTAAAATGCCTACTGAAATTATGTACACATTCAAATATGTCTACGCTATTAAAATGTCTTTGGTTTGTTTGCCCACTTAAAAAATGTCAAAATATTTATGTTGGCCACTGAAAATATATAAAATATATTTATAAAATAAAACAATAAATAAAATATATATAAAATATACATGTTGATATTTATAGGGTCAATAATTCGCGAAAAGTGACTAACAATTTTGACGCGTCAGCTTCTGCAGCATCCGCAGCCCCGTCCTGTCTTTGGGGATACACTTTCAAATGAGATTTTTATCAGACGACATAAATACGTACTTTGAAATGTTTGACTTTTTGGAGTAGGCAGTCAAACCAAAGACATTTTAATACCGTAGACATATTTTACTATAGACACTATTTTAATAGGAATTTTCATGTAGACATTTTGACTGTAGACCAAAAAAGGTAGCCCTTTTTTTTGTAGCCCTTTTTCTTGTAGACCTACTGTCCGTAAACCAAATACTTCGACTTGGGATTAGTTCCAACAGAGGTAGCCACTTCCAACAACAGACTCGTTTTTTCGGAACAAGGTGTCCCTACCAATGGCTTATTAACGAGGATTCGTTTGATAATCCCTTCACTAAGGCTCACTATCAATCAATAAAAATCTTACTTGAATTTTTCTGGAGCTACTAATTTTGGACTGGGTTTCGTCCTGTTGTCTCTGATACAGCAATGCTCGCAACTTCTGCAAGGCTATTTCTTTATTTTTATGCTGAAAACGTTCTACTTGGCATTCAACAGCAATACCTGGAGCAAGCAGAAGGAAGAATCAATGTAAACGGGCAAAAGTATTCACAAAGAACACACCGGCAAGACAGCCAATCAATGGACACAAGTTGGTTGCTCTATAGTAAAGAATTGTGAAAGTACTTGACAATAAAAACATTTCAGGAGTGCCATAAGAAATGTTCATTTCCTTTGATAAATGTCATTCCATAAGATTACAAAAGTTCAAATCCTAACATGGTCATTTATATTAGGGATGTGCGAATAGTGAATTTTCCAAACGAAGCGAATAGCGAATAATTTTGCCAGTTATTCGCAAATATGAAGCAGATAGCAAATAATTTAAGTCAATTATTCACAACTACGAATAGTAATACGGATAATTACAAATAACTTTTTCAAGTATGAAAATTCGTAAATATGAAAAAAGTTGACAAATAAGAGTGATTAATTTTTTTAAAAATTTTCCATTTGCTCTTACGCCAGCACAGAAAACAATGAAATGCTATGATAGCAGCCTAGGCTGTTAAGAATCTGTTTGAAGATCCCTGCATAATGGCTTGACTGTCCCTGCAGTTATGTATGCATTCTCACGATTTAATGTTAACAGTCAAGCTAGTATCTAAGGATCACGAGACACAATTTTTGTATTTTATTTTTTTTTGTGTGTGTCAGAGAAAGTGTGTTTATGAACACTTTTTTTCCATTTTCGTGTCTTTCAATATTTAATTTTGGCTCTTTGCTTATTCCCATCTTCCCTTCCAAAATCCGAGGTTTGCAATGTCTTGGATGGAAGCCTTGCACAGGTTCTAACAACGTTTCACGATAGACACTCGGAAATTCGTTATTTTTGACGGCGCGAATATTTGAAGATTCATTATTCGTGACACGAGAATATTCGAAAATATCGAATAATTCGAATATAAATAATAAAGTTGAATAAGAACATTGCATGAGTTGTTCTCAGTGTTTTTATTGGTCTAAACGGTTCAAAACTGGTCAGGAGTCCGTCGAAGATGAGGAGCACAGGAATCGACCATCAACGGCAACTGACATTCGCCACATGGAAGAAGTGCGGGAAAAAGAGCTCAAAAATGGTGATTTCGAGCTTTCTGAGCAGTGCGATATTTCTGAGGGCTTTGCACATACATTTTTGATAAAATATTTAGACATGCATCAAGTTTCAGCTAAACTTGTCCCACGATTGTTGTCTGTTCAACAAAAATTCAACCGAATGTCAATTTCTCTTGACCTTCTTGAACGTTCTAATAATGATCCTACATTTTTGGATACAATAATTTCCGGTGACAAAACTTAGGTGTATGGCTACGACATGTAGACGAAACTACAGCCATCCATGTGTGTTGAAATAGGTGGTGCAAGACCAAAAATGAGCAATAAGTTCGGTCAAACATGGAAATCGCAGAACACTCATGAGATTGCCTTACTTCAAGCCACATACCAACAAAGCTAATTAAGTTTTTTCCAATTTGTGAATGTAGCGTTCTTAAATATATTTTCAGCTATCAGGAAAGTCCAAGAAAACCTGATTCGGACGCATGATGGGCTAGTTATCACCAAAATCCCGTTTCTTATCTGACAGACCTCGTATTTGAAGAAGAAACTCAAAAAAGTTGAAGTTCCAGATTAAAAAATAGGACATTCGAGAAAATTGGGCAACATCTGATGTGTTTTTTGGTCTTTTCATCACAGAATATTTAATTAAACTCTATATTATATCTCAATGCAAAACATAAAATTAGAGAAATAGTCTTGAACCTTTGTGAATATGAGAGAAAAATAAATGTTTTGTACTGGATGGTGCAATGTCAGACTGAGAAAACATAAAGTTTTCTGGAAACGAAAGAAACTGGGTTAAAAATCTGTAGAAAGCTTTTCCCCTTATGAGTAGATTGTAAAGAAAATTTGAGTTGAACACTTCTGAAACCAAATATGTTTAATCATATTAACTAGATGTAGGCATTGCACGAAATAAGCAGCAGTAGAAAAGCCATAAAATATCCTTCTAAAATATTAACCCTCCTGGATGTAAGAATAGAAAATACATCACAGCAAAACCCACAAGATTCTCCTACACAGAATCTGAATTAGGATTGTCATCAATGAATCGTCACTTTCGGGCCCAAGTCTCACTTAAGCGCTATGTTGTCAAACTTTTCAGACTTATCCAATTTTATTAGGGGAAACTAATCGGAAGAATCACTCGAAAATTTACTCTTACCAACGAGGATTTTTATCATCGGAATTGATCTTTCAAATTTTCACAGAAGTAAATTAGGTGCAAAAGTTTTTAAAGAAAAAATTAAAACAATATTGAGATGCCCGGTATAATACAGTGTCCACGCTTAAATGACGCTTGTGATACTTTGATCGGAAGGTGGAGAGAACTTGGAGAAACATAACGATGGCTAAAAAACAATACCACCTATCTGCAATATGACGATTTTGTAGGACAAAGAAGAAACTTCACCATTTTTGTAGGTAATTTAGAGGTTAGATTTGCAATTTTTTTTCCATTACAACGTCTTCACAGCAATCCCATGTGGAACTGGAAGAAACTAAAATCATCGGCTTGAGAATTTTATGCTGTAGAATGCGGCAAAGTCGCTAACTCATTATTGCCAAAATTTATAGTGAAAAAATATTGTTCCTTAGCCCTTGATAAGTACTTTTGTTGCACTAGGGCAAAATTAAAATAATTTAAGTGTGCACCTGTTGGAAGATGAACTATTCGAACGGCACTGTCGGATGTTTGAACAGCCTGACCTCCTGCACCGCTGGATCTTTTTGTCTCAATTTTCAAATCTTTCTCTGCAATGACTACATCAGCCTAGAGGAAAATTAATTATGATACGAATCTTCAATTAATTATAGTCATTAAACAAAGAATGATAAATTTATTTTGAAAAAAAAGCACTTAGATGATTAACAGTTCAAACCAAAAGACTTTCAAAGACTTTGAAAAAAAAATGGCAAAAATTTTTCTTTAAAAAATCCTGTAAAAACTAAAGCAGATGTTATGAGAGATCTATGAAAACATGTTGAAAAATTTCTTTCAATTATTGTTTTAAGGGAACATGAACAATGCGACAAAATGAGTCCGTTGTCATTTTTTAAAGTGCATTACTGGAAAATATTAAATAAATTAAGCTTGCCAGTATTTTCCTTTTTTTCTCTTCAGAACAGCAACCAAGAGAAAGTTTGAATGAATAGAAATTAACAAATGTTTATTGTAAATCTATTCATACTTGAACTAACAAGGGGAGCTTCCCAAGTGTAACCGGAATTTCGAGTTGAAATTTCGCATGAAGATACTAGAGATGATTTTAGAGATGCCGTATTTTTTCGTTTTTTCGAATGGGGTCGGGAAAGCCCTCAAAAAAAGGGCTACAGATGCGGAAAAAACGCGTGCGCTAGCGGCACAAGGTAAAGCTAGGTGATAGAGCTGCAACTTTATCAGTACCGCATGGCCAAACGGTAGCGCGCTCGCTTCGCAGACGGGAGGTTCTAGGATCGGATCCTGATTACGGCTCTTAATTTTATTTTACTTTATGCTTGTTTATTTTTCACTTACTTTATTTTGCACCATTCGCTCCGCAAACCGACTTACGAGGTAGAAAACGTAGTGACTGAAGATTTTTTACATATGCTGATAAAAACTCGAAGTTTCTCTTGGATTGAAACGTTATATATAATTGAATAAACAAAACACTCTAAAACTCACCAAATTTCGTTGCCAAGCTGAATTTCCGGAGTATCAGTCAGATACAGATACAGATTTGACTGATACTCCGGAAATTCAGCTTGGCAACGAAATTTGGTGAGTTTTAGAGTGTTTTGTTTATTCAATTATATATAACGTTTCAATCCAAGAGAAACTTCGAGTTTTTATCAGCATATGTAAAAAATCTTCAGTCACTACGTTTTCTACCTCGTAAGTCGGTTTGCGGAGCGAATGGTGCAAAATAAAGTAAGTGAAAAATAAACAAGCATAAAGTAAAATAAAATTAAGAGCCGTAATCAGGATCCGATCCTAGAACCTCCCGTCTGCGAAGCGAGCGCGCTACCGTTTGGCCATGCGGTACTGATAAAGTTGCAGCTCTATCACCTAGCTTTACCTTGTGCCGCTAGCGCACGCGTTTTTTCCGCATCTGTAGCCCTTTTTTTGAGGGCTTTCCCGACCCCATTCGAAAAAACGAAAAAATACGGCATCTCTAAAATCATCTCTAGTATCTTCATGCGAAATTTCAACTCGAAATTCCGGTTACACTTGGGAAGCTCCCCTTGTAAGTTAAGTTTTACTAATAAATATGGTAAAGGTTAAACTATCTATAATCCTTCAGATCTTCAGGATAGAATACTGTCTGACCTATTTCCACCTAGTAAACATTAGAATAATGATACGTTATTTTTAAAAAAATTAGGAGGAACCTGTATTTTAAAGTGAAAAAATTTGGGTAGCCATGAAAAGGGTTTGAGTTGTGTATTTTTGGACTTTAAACATGGACATTAGTCAAGGCAACAGAATCCGTTGTGAACAAATATGTGACAGCGCAGCAGTGTGCTATTGATCAACTTGAAATTTGTGGCTAGATGTCTCAAGTAGATAGTACGGAGCTACAACAGCTGCAATGTCCATTCTGTTATACAAGTGTTTGCAGTTCTATTAAACATGTTTGAATGCCTTCGCAGAAGCAAGAGGATAATTTTTTGATAAGTTATACAGTATTCATTGTTTTTTTTTATTTCTGTTTTTTTTGCCAGAAACGAGAGGGTTCGACTGTTTCAAGTCATTCCTTCCAGGCTCAACGGTCCTTTTAGCTATAGCTTTATGCACTTGCACTATATGACGTGTAATAGATTGCAAACTTAACAAACCTCTTTTGGTTGTGGTAAAACTGCTACAGAAACGGTGCTGGTGTGAATTCGGCCAGCTTTTTCAGTTTTAGGAACCCTCTGCACCCGGTGCACCCCACCTTCAAATCTTAGAAGACGGCAAGAGTCTTTGCCTGACACTTGTACACAACCCTTCCTAATTCCTCCTGAAATAAAAACCAGTTTGAGATTAATTTAAGTGAGCAATTGCAAAAAATTTCAGAAAAGATCTAAAGGTGTCACCATCAACGCAGAAAACAATAACTCACTCCCAATAATACCTGCTTCAAAACATTTTGATTGATGGTAGGAACTAACTGATATTTCCTTCTTAATTTTCACGGAGGAAAAAAAATTTGACAAATCACCCCCATGCCAAAAATGGAACTAAAAAAACTGCCTCTAAATTGCAGAGATTAAACACTTCCATTCATAATTTATCTGCTCAAGAGAAAACTACCTGAATTTATTTTGATAAAATCAACCTCCTAACTACATTTAATGTCTCATTACTTCCTCTCATTATGCATTTTTTGACCTGAAAATTGAGTAACAAGGTGTTCCGTGAATTTTCCTAGAAAATGAAGATTATCCTTTCAAAATTTCAAGGCAGAATGTTTCTTGCATTTCGAAGGAAGTTTTCTACTTGGAGATTAAAATAAGAGAGAAAATCAAGTAACATGGAATGCAAGTAGACTGATTCTGCTTAAATCCTTTCAGTTTACATTTTTATTCAAAATTTGTAGGAAATATTACTATTGTGTGGGTGAAGGTAAGTCACGGATCTTAGCTTAAACTAAGTGAAGTTTAAAATAAGACAGCTGAAGGAACACCAACCTAGATCAGATTTGCTAAAGTCAATGACTTCACAACTCCAACCTTTTCGTAAAATATATGCGCTATACATGTCAAACAATTCGCAAGCAAACAACATGGCTTCCTGGCCACCTACACCAGCATTAACCTCTAGTATTACATCAGTCAATTTGTCCTCCTCATCCACAGGAATTAAAGCTTCCAGGATCTGCGAAAAACAGGGAAAAAATGAATGTCAATCGAGGGCAATCATGAACAAAGACAATAATCATCAGACTTGCACGTTTCATGAGGAGGAATATATGGGACGCATTTAGCAGAAAGGAGCCAGGCCACATCAGCTACTGCCAAAAATTGGGCACTTTAATTTTTTACATGAAAACAGTGGTGCATAGTACGAAGCTAATTCCTCCATATTTTTAAGGGAATCCACACTAAAGTTCTCTTGTAAAAAAATATACTTATTGCCCAATTAAAAGCAATAGCTGATGTGGCTTGGTTCTTTCCTGCTTAACGTAGTCCATATGACAGTAGAAAAAGAGTAGACTTCAGAGCAAGCAAGAATTGCGAAATAAATTCCCATGACTAAAGTAAAAAATGCGTACCTCCAAAAGTGACACAGCAAATTTGCTCATGCTTAATTTTTTTTTACTTACTTATATGAAGTTTTTTAAACAGCTTTTCTTGCAATTTTGTTAGATTATGTTAGTTGATTATAAAATTGAAATATACTTGGAGATATCAAAATATTCATGTCTTTTTTTTCCATTCAACTTGTATTGAAATGCTCGTTTAAACATACCTCCTGTGAACAAAAGGGCTCACATCAAAGAGTCACAGCATCGTGTCTAGGATTTTTGACTAGGCTCATTCCCTGATGAGAAACAGAAATTTTTTCCCACTTCCCGGAGATTTTCCAGGGGAAAAGAATATAATTCTCCAGAGTTCCATAAAGGTATAAATATCGATTTTGATTCATTTTTCAGCCATTTCTTTGGCGCACATTCAGAATTTTAATACCGATAGCGTTCCTGATATATATTATCTGGTCAATGAAAGCTTCTCCATTCTTTGAAGCTTCAAACATGTCATTCAAGAAGTCAATAATAGCGCTCAGTATCAGATTAGACCGCCTTTGAAAATGAAATGAACCTTAAGAAGTAGAGGTAGAGATTCCCGGTTTCTGGAACAGATTCCCTGATTTTTCCCTGTAAATTTTCATTCCCAGACGAATCCCGGTTTTCCCCGTTCTAGACACCATGAGTCAAAGTCTCAGCAATGATAAGTCCTAAAATTTTTTTGCATGAACCTCCACAAGGTCGCTTCAAAAAATTCCAAAAAATATTGAATATTGATTAATTATTTTGTTATAATCTTTGGAAATGCTAACAACTACACTGGCAACATTATTATTTCCGCTTTCATAAGATCACCAAGGAGCAAATTCAAACATTACCTGATTTTTTAACAAAGTAATCTGGTCTTCATATTCCTTCATTTCCTCTTTCACCATGTCATCCATTTCCTTAGTGCTCTCTGAAATACAAATAATTGTGATAGTTTAGTGTTTTTATGGTTGAAACTTTTTCAGTTGCAATATTTAAGCTGGCAAAATTGCAAGATAGGAGCTATACTGCATGCAACCATCAATTATTTCTGTTTTGTTTTTTTGCTTTGATGATTGTTTATTCAGATATTGGCAAATCTTTGACAATTCCTGTGAACTACTTGGGTGTCAGATAGAGGTGTTTGATTATTTGAAAAATCGCACAATCAATAATCGGTGATCAAAATACGTAATTAATCGATTAGGCAATTGATCGGAAGTGAAATAATTGATTAATCGATTATTAATTGATTTTGTCAAATTTTGCTGTAAATGGCTAGTTAGGCTGCCAGGAACTTTACATTTCGTAGCCACCAACATGTACTAAGATACTTACACTTGAATATATGTTATTGTTAGGTATACATACTAATTATATTTTTTGTGTGTTCAATTTTCTTCAGATGGAGAACATCATTAGTATGTGGACAATTTCTTGAGCATCTAAATTACAAACCAACATTTTCAAAGTCATAATTAGCTTCAGCGAATTTAATCGACTCTATCAAGCTGATTAATCGACTAATTTAAGCCGATTAATCAGGAACTATCATTCAAAGGGCTTGATTAATCGATTACTAATCGATAATCGGAACACCTCTAGTGTCAGAGATCCATCATTAGGAGGTTGAGTAGTAATTTATTTGAGATCCTTGACTGATGTAAGCAATCAAAAGGGAGACTTAATATGTCTCGCAATGAAAATTGGTACCCTATGAGCAAATGACTCTTGCTCAACGTCAACAAATAGAGGAAGCATTCTTCCAAAGACTGGCAAACACTGACACTTCCTCATCACTTACCAATCTATTTTCTTGTGATGGAAACATTCACAGATAATCTGTAGACCTTACTCGACTTCCTTCGCATGCGTAATTCTGTGCCTGCTACTGTTTCAGGTTCTTTTGACGTCAGTATATAACTGTTGGTTTCTAATTAGAGATGTACATTAAGTAGTATAGAAGGTAACAGTACGCTTAGGCTTGAAAATAATTCATAGCCTTCCGTGAAACTAGAGTTCACAATAGTACAGGTACATTTGATTGCAGGCTCAGCAATGTGAATGTAAGTACAGGGTTGAAACCCCTCAGTAAACACCCGCTTGTGTTTAACTCGAAAAGGTTGGATATGATCACAACTAAGGGACATATCGACGGTGAAACTACCAAACCACGTATCTCGTTTGCGGTGTTTAAAAATCTACGCTCACATTTTATTTTTTTGAAGTAGACCAAATCAATATCATTCCTTGAAATTTTCACGGAATTTTCTCCGCACAACGAGGAAAAATCACAGAAATTTTCAAGACTGGATGTTAAGTAGTTTTTCATTTAAATAAAAAAGTATGACAGGAAGTCTGCGACGTCGCAAACCGAGATACGTAGTTTGGTAGTTTCACCGTCGATATATCGTATCCTTGCATGGACATTGAAAGTGATAACTGAATGACAAAACCTGATTCGGTTGCTAGCCAAAGTAAAAGCACGTCTCTTTCGCACAGCGCCTCTCCATTTGATCCGCTTCAAACACATGCTAACAGGGATGTTCACTTTTCAGACCCAAATTGTACCAGAGTTAAAATAATACTTAGGAATAAGTACGCAAGAACTGTCTTTTCCCATGTACTTTGAATCACTTCTCTGTGAATGCAAATCACATCCAGAGATGTTAGTTAGTTATTATAATTTTGAGACATTCAGCGACTTAGGCTATTAACGTCTTTACAGGTAATTTTGAAAATAGGAGTATAAACGAAAGCTGAAAGTAATTGTATAAAAATAGCTACAATGAACTCGCTCACATAGGGCAACTCCTCATGCGCCTAACTGATTGTGAGAAAAAACTGGAAAGGCATATGCTTATAGCTACTGATCTAGCTAATTGTACAGAACTTATTTATCTACCTCAAAAGATTATTATGCGCAAATGTAATACTCGCCTGTATTCAGTTCTTGCAAAGTAGCTACGTTTTTCCTCACAGCTGCAATTTCCTTGAACAAACTCACAACCCCCTGAACATCTACACTCTTGGCAAACTCCGCATCCAAGTTCAAGTCAAATACTTTGCCCTCTTCTAAGGACTGAACATACCTTCCTTCCATTCTGTCTAAATGCTTCAGGAAAGTTGGGTCTGAAACACTGATATTGGGAGGCACACTAAACTTTCGGATTTGCTGATAAAAATATTTTCGGATATGTTGCGGTGGCGACTGATGGTTTATCCAAAAAGAGCAGCGTGAGATATGGGGACATAATACTTGCGGAATAAATTTTAGAGTGATGATCGATTTCATTGCGATTTCGTTCGTCCAGTTGTGAAGTCCAAGATTTCAAATGATACAACGCAGTAAACTACGGACCACGCCGAATTTCAAGCACATGATGGTTTAGAAGTTAACTTTAAGATTCATATTAAACTCTCATACTCGATCAGAGGGAAGCAAATTTTCTAAATGGAAAAAAAAACTGAAAACTATATTCACAGCGCATCGTAACATCGGTTTGATGAAACTTGTGTATGAAAACTTTGAGGTTAGCATTCAAGCAGTTTCCGTTTCCGTTAGGGACTCGATTTCCGGTGCCGCTCTACTTCCGTTCAGGGAGGGGAAAAAGGGGGGAGGGGGGATCGTACTTTCTACATTATTTTCTGTATTTATTTTAGCAAGCGCGTATTCGGTTTGTTTAAAATTGTTTATTTTTAGACATCTGACATTTTTACCTACATTCAAAAAGGACCGGGGGCTCCTCGAAAAAGCCACACTGTTTATATGATGGGGAGACAGCGATCCTGCTGATTAATGGAAATAATTAAAAAAGAAATACATAGATCAATCTTTAAAAAAATTGGTAGGAGACCCTCTTACAATATGCGTGACGAAAAACGTCCTTTTTCCTGGACATTTCTACAAAAAGGCCCCAGCGAGCTCAAAAACGGCGACTCGGCAATACATGAGCCAAGAGATCCGGAGCTATACATGCGATTTAAAAAAATTCAACACACCAAACTTCATGGAAATTGGCGTGAAACACTCTCAAGACATATGAAACGAGTAATGATGGTCCACTTTCCCAAACCTATTTCCAAAAAGGGCTCAGCAAGCTCCAAAAGGGCGACTCGGCAATATGTTAAATGAGCCAAGATATCTGGGGTTATAAGAGCAGCATAGAAAATGATATGCACTTTAGTATGTGCTGCCAAAGAATCAGAGACCAGCTAATCATCTTTCAAGATCGGGGGATTTGGGGGGAGGAATCTTTAAACATTATCAATATTTTATGGAGAAACGCACTTAATGCTAATTTTCCACCCATATTCTAGCATATTCGTATTCTCAAAGTGTTTTTTCACTGAAATAAAGGGACTCAAGTTTTTTAAAGATCCTTGGGTTGTAGTTATTGATCCTTGGACGTCAGAGTACAAAGAAGCAGTTTTTATATATTCGTTGGAGAAAAATGAGTCTGAATTTCTACATTTCATGGCAACAAATGGTCGAAATGAATTTTGACCATAAATTATGCAGCTTAAAAATGATACGCTTAGAAGTTTGATGTTCAACTGTAAAAAGTGTCACACTGTGACTAGCTTCAGTAGAGCATCCAGTACGACTTTCTTTAAACCTTTTTTTATCTTTTGGTTTATTTATTTTTTTTTTCAAAATCTGAACTTGCGCCTAGCTCTCCAAATATCACACATTTCAAAGAAAACAGATTGAATATTGTTTTCTTCATCTCCTTTTCAATTAGTCCAATCAAATAGTTAAGACCTATGAAAGTTAGAAGCTTACAGAAGGCAAAAGAGGGCTTGCAGTAAAACTAAAAACTTCATATACTATAGTTGTATAAAAATGCATTTATTATTAGGAGTACAAAGAAGAACTTATGATTTAATTAACAGCTAGAAACAATATCACAAGGCAGATTGCATTTTACAGGGTTGCCAGCCAAATTATTTTTTTCCATTCCCTGACTTTCCAATATTTTTCCCTGACTTTAAAGTATGGATCTGACGCAGTCTGTTAAAGTGAAAATGAGAGCTATTTTCGACTATTTAAATTTTTAGCAGTTCCCGCGCCTAATTCCACGAAAAATCAGAAAAATCCCTGACCAACACCGAAATTCCCTGACTTTCCCTGACTTTTCCCGGTTGATTTTTTTCCCCTGACTTTTCCCGGTTTTCCCGGTCGCTGGCAACCCTGATTTTATGCAGCGAAAATCATAAATATGCAGGTAAGAAAATCAAAAAATAAAACTTATGAGTTTTATTAATTATTATTATTATTATTAAATTATTAATTTAGAAAAAACGATTGAACACAATAAGGAACTAAAAATAAAATGCACTATATACGAAGTTACTGTTACTGTATAATTAACTGTATAAATTACTGTATAATGTTACTGTATAACATATGGATCGCATTTAACAAAAAATAACTAGCGCTGTTACAGTGTTTTAAAAATCGTGCACCTTCTCCTTCTCTCTTAAAAATACATGATGTAAGTACAGTATTAAAATTTACAATTATTTTCCCTTAAAATTAACAATTTTTCCATCGGAAGCCAAAGCTATTTGCTGTTCTGGGAGATTGCTTAAATATTCATGAGGAAGCAACATTTTTACAACACTGTAATTGCACTGGTTCCTATTTGCAAACTGCGATCCATATAAGAGGATAAACTCTCAGAAAAATAATAAAAACTCCAACAAAAGCATCATTTGTGATCAACCAAAATGGATTAAAAAACATAAAACTAATTAAAGTTATTTTCATGATTATTATCGTTTGTTCACTGTAATTATAAAAAAATCAGAGGTAAGACAGGATCGATAAGGATCCATCAAAAAAGCTCTTACTTCCTCATAGGAGCATCGCATCAACATACAAACATGACTGTGTGTTTCCAAAAATGCGGTTATTGATTTTCAGAGCTAGGAACAATTTCATAGGACACCCTTTTTGAATGAATTGATCACAGGCAACATATAGTAATAATTATAAAAACAACAGAGAGAGGTGAACATTTTAAAATTTTTATCACAGTTGATTTGTGGCGTTCTACCCATGAAGTTTCCAATAGAATAAGGATTAATAAAGAAAATAGAAACTCTCAGAAAAATAATACAAATTCCAAGAAAAGCATCATTTGTAATCAACAAACAGGAATTATAAAATATGAAACTGATCATAGTTCTTTTAATGATTATTAATGTTTGTTTACCATACTGATAAAAAATCAGAGGTAAGAAAGGATCAAGAGGCATCCATCAAAAAAGCCCTCAATTCCTCATGGGAGCATCGGATCTACATACAAACAGGTACATATAAAACATTACAATTAAGAGAGGATCAAAAAGCATTCTTAACAAATTTGGTACACTATCTTTCTTGTTATAATATTAATGGGTCAGATGAATTGGTCACAGAGTCGTGTTTTGATGCTCGATTCTTGTAGAGTAGCTAAGATTAATAAGATCTGTCTAAACCGCAACTTTCTACATTCAATATTAAAAGGACTACATGCTCCAGTGCTTTTGCAATTTCAATGGAAGACTTAGAAATCGAACAGTTGCTGCGGGCTCTTGACGATTCGGATTTGGACCTTTCAGATGAAGATGTAGACCCGAGTGAAGCCAATCGAGGTTAGTGGTTATCTATTTCCTGAATTCAAGTATCATCAGGTTTATAATGATGCATCAGGTTTGTAATGATGCATCAGCAGAATAGTATTTTTACTTTCTCGCTCGCCTTGCGTGTAGAGGACGTATTGTTTTTCCTTGATTGAGGATATCAGAAAGTGTCTTCAGCATGAAGCTTCACACTGAAAGGCGGTAAAGGGATGCTCTCCCCCGGTTTGAAATGGGCATCTGCATAGCTTGTACAGCATATTACGAGAAATTTTCCTTATGCAGGGCTCTACCAATTTTAGCTGAGGATAGCTCGGCTGGTAATTCTTGAATTGATCAGTATTCATTCATTCAGAGAAGATAAGAGCAATGAATCTTGACCACCTAAATTCTGGAAATAATCCTATCTGTAAGTTTTTTTATCAGCCTCCTGTGGTGTAGTGGCTGGCCCTATGACCAAGAGGTCCCGGGTTTGATACCCGGCCAGGTGATCTGAGTTTGATGGTCTCAGGCAATGGTCACCTAGAGCTGGGGTAATAAGCGTGAGATTAGCTGATAGGCTATTTGAAAGTATTCTCTAGGGTTTGGGCCGTGAAGTTTATGGTGTTTATTTTCTTTTTCTTTGCTGTGGTTTTATTTTGCATTTTTGTGAATTATAATTTACCGTCGCAACAAATTAAACAAACTTTTCGTATTGTCTCCATCAGCTTCAAATATACCACCAATTACTGATGTTTCCATCCCAGAGCCAGTACCAAATGACAACACTCATCCTCAGAGAAGACAAAGTGTAATCCAACGTCGCAGATCATCCAGAATAACCGAACAGATCTCCTCCTCTGAAAGTGCACCCAAAACAAGATCTTCAGATGTAGTGACCGAACCCAGCCAATTACAACCGCCAGGAACCAGCTCTGCTAGTGACCCAGGATCTCAACCCTTAACTGCTGCATCCTCTACATCACTAACTCCCCAAGGGCCACAGGTGGGAAAAACAAATTCGCATCCTCAACCTAAAATTCCCAGAGCTGAAATTTTGAGGCAGCAAAAAGAGTACCGCGAGAATAATGGCTTGACAGAGAGGGATAAAATTAGATGGCGTAAACGAAAACATTTTAAAAAGTATGAAACAAATCCCCATATACAGTGGTATACTCCTCCTGGGGAAAATTATGTTGATTTGCCAACTCCGTTGGAGTTTTTTCATAGATATATTCCTCACGAATTTTTTGAACTGGCAGCTGAAAAAACTAATATTTATGCAGCACAGCAGAGACTTGCTCGCCAGGCTGCTCAAGCACAGCAAGCACCTCAAGCACCTCAGGCTGTTCAAGCACAGCAAGCACCTCAACCTGATGCGGCCCAACAAGCTGCAGGAGACCAGGAGAATGAGGATAAAGATGATGAAGAGGTTGTGAGCAGCGATGAAAATGACGAGCTTGGAAATGAGGGAGCTGTCAATGGTGCGGCTGTTAACAAAAAGCGCAAAGTAAAACCACTGCAAACAAACCCCTCAGAAATGAAATCTTTTATTGGTATGCATATTCTAATTGGAAATACTAATTATCCAAGATATAGAATGTGCTGGACTCGTGAATTTAGAATTGACAGAATTGCAAATACCATGCCTCAAAATAGGTTCCAAAAATTGAGGGCCAATTTTCATATTGCTAATAATGAAACCGATCGCGATCCCCAGGATCGCTTTTGGAAGGTGAGGCCGCTCTATACTTTCATCAGAAATCGTCGTCTCCAGTTGCCCATGGACACTGCCCTCAGCGTTGATGAGCAAATGGTGCCTTTCAGAGGACAGCTTGATGTGAAGCAATATATGAAAAATAAGCCTTGCAAATTTGGTATAAAACTTTTCCTCTTATGCAATAAAGAGGGTCAGTTCTATGATTTTCTCCTCTATCAGGGCGAAAAAACGGGCATCAGCCCAGAGTTATCGCAATTTGGTGCAGGGGGCTCAACCGTCATGCAGCTCCATTCAAGAATCACAGAGCCCAACCACCAATTGTACTTCGACAACCATTTTAGCACCTACCACCTGTTTCAATGGCTCCTGAACAGAGGAACATATGCTGCGGGCACTATTCGAGTCGACAGGTTTTCTCAGCCTCGCCTAATGTCCGACACAGCTATGCGAAAAAAGCGCAGAGGATTTATGCAAGAATCCCTCAGCAAGGATGGCCAGGTTGTAGTCACCAAATGGTTCGACAACAAACCTGTAACCCTAGCGTCAAATTTTGTGGGTATTGGAAAAACAGATAAGTGTCAGAGATGGGACAAGAAAAATAAGGTTTACATTGAAGTTAATCGCCCACAAGTTATTCAGCTTTACAATAATTTTATGGGAGGTATTGACCAACTAGACTATTACATTTCCTTATACAGGATTTACATAAAATCAAGGAAGTGGACGCTTCGCATGATAGCACATGGCATAGATCTGGCTCTTGCTGGAGCTTTCATAGAGTACCGTAGAACAGCCAGAGCTCTGAAGAAGCCAGAAAAAGAAATTTTAGACCTGTTGTCTTTCCGTCAATATGTAGCCACTGCCTTGATCGAAGCTGGAAAAGACACTCCTCGTCGAAAAAGAGGTCGACCCAGCAAACTTCAGGATCGAATTGATGAAATTGAGCCTGCTGTGAAGCGACCTGCTGCAGAGGTTCGACCTATTGTAGATGTTCGGCTTGATAATGTTGGTCACCTGGCCAACTTTGATGATAATAAGTATGGATCCAGGTGCAAATATCCTGGGTGCAAAGGAAAAAGTCGTATTTTTTGCGTGAAGTGCAATGTGCAACTCTGCTTGAACGGTGCTAACAACTGTTTTTATCAGTTTCATGTCCAGTGAGAGTTTGAACAAACCAAATTTTTAGTTGGTTACCAATTGTTAAATTTATTTTACTCGTCAGTTTTTGTTGGGGAGAGTCAACAATGAAAGACTGATGATTTGACTAGAGTTTCCTATAATTGCTCTTCGCAGTTTTTTCATATTTTGTGTTTCCTAGTATTACCACTTATTTACTCTTGTATTGTTTTGTTTTAGACAATTTATACCTCCCAGAGTCAAACTCTCAAAGGGTGGTTCGTAAAAACAAATGGATCATTCTTTCACTTTCTTTTTTTGTTATTTTAGTGAATTTTTGTGACTGTTCCTCCAAGTTAGAGCTTCAAACAGTTTTAGTCATAGATTTTTCATTTCATTTTTGCACTCTCTTTTTTTGACTTGTCAGTTTTCGTTGAGGAGAGGTAACAATAAAAGACTGATGATTTGACTAGAGTGTTGTGTAATTACTCTCAGCAGTTTTTTCATATTTTTCCCCCTAGTATTGCCACATATTTACTCTTGTATTGTTTTGTTTTAGACAATTTAGATCTCCTTGAGTCAAACTCTCAAAGGATGGTTCATAAAGACAGACGGATAGATATCCATTTCTTTCACTTTTTTTTGTTATTTTAGTGAATTTTTGTGACTGTTCCTCTAAGTCAGAGCTTCAAACAGGTTTAGTCCTAGATTTTTCAATTTCATTTTTGTTCTCTCTCGTTTACTCAATATAAAGTTTTCATTTAAAGAGGTCTGTGCAAAAACGGCAAAATCCGCCCACCCTCAGATTTCAACCAAACTTCGGATTTTGATAGGCCTATATGCCAATAGTAATCCCTGAAAATTTCAGCCCCCAAAAATAATTACAAGAGGGGGGGCGGGGGGTCAAAGTTGGAAAATCGTGCAAAATTCAAACTGCTATATTTCGGCAACGGTTACAGCTTTTTGAATGCGGTTTGGACCAAAAAACGCAGA